TTTACCCCATTACATTTACTTGACTCTTTTTAGCAATTGAAGAAACTAGCGGTGAAAAGGTTAACCGCGGGTATTCTCGGGGGCTATTTTTCACCAGGGCTGGTCGATACCATGAATCGGTTCGGAAAGTTAGAGGGCACAGTTGACTTGGACGAGGTTTGAACTTTCAGGACAAGAAGGCAGTAATAGCTGCTAACGCACGTGCGCAATCATTCACTGCGCAGTTCTCTGTCTTCAGCTGAAAATGTAGATACGTGGACCAAAAGACACATGGAATCTAGCCATCTGGGCGATTAGTGTAAACATTACACCCAAAGTCCAACTGAAGCCTTCAAAACAATACAGAAATAAGGTCAACTACGGTACTCCTCAAGTTCTGACGAAATCGGCAAGACCGATATGCTAGCTAAAAAAAGCTACACTCTCACTGCCAGAACTTAACAATCACATCCAAGACATCAGTACATCGAGCATGATCTCAACAGAAATGTTTACGATGTGGGATGCACAAATAAGAATAGCAGTGATGAAGATACTATTGAGGCAGGCTGGACTTAGAAATAAAAATTTATCTTGAACTCAGTCACACCCGATAGGTAGAACATAGGTACCCGAATATCGAGTAAAAGACGAAATCGTTTGGGAAAAACCCGTTGTAAACCCGTTNTGATCTTCGAAAACCACTTCAGAAGTAGATTACAATTCGTAACCAGGAGTTCAGATAGACGCCAAACGCATGGCGCACACTTAACAACTCTTCTAATCGCTACTGGTTTGTGATTATCATTATTCCAAAGACATTTAGCCTAGCCAGCGAAGGATGCATCGAAGAAGAAAGTGGAAAACATACAGGACCATCAAAAAACGCTATTACAAGTGGATTACATGAAAGTAAAACTGAATAAAACCTAAAAATTAGATGGTAAATTATATCTGGCCTTAATACAGTCACAAATTAGGAAAAATTACTCTCAGAGGCACCTAGGGTTACTGGCGGAATCAGTGCCCACGTGGAGGTAGCGCAGGCGCTCTATGAGACGTCGCTGTACGTCAGCGTAGTGGTGTACCCGGCGGTGGACATTGTACCTTGATCGCCGGCGCCGTCAGACCTGCTGTTCCTACCAGTCGCATTGCGAAACCTAAAAGTAAAAGTTCAAAGCAAAGGCATGGAAACGAAATTCATGGCGAAATACTGAAACAATTCAGAATGCTGGGGCCCAAAAACTGTTCCCTAAACTAGTCCAAAAAACGCTAAAGTTGTTCAGATACATATCGATCGACAAACCGTGAGAATTACGCAATCATCGCCTTTGCCAGTGTAGCAGAGGTGAGAAAGAAAGAAAGGAGAAAGAAAACGTAGGAAAACCCATGAAAAGAAAGGACTAACGAAGTATGTGGAGCTGATTAATCAGTCCAGAATGCGCCGTGCATTAGTATTTCACTCGTAGTCAAATTGTTCTCAAAAGCGCTTTTGGGAAAGGTGTTGAAATTTCGAGACCGGCCATGATTTTTTAGTGTGTTCGCCACTAGAGACAGAATAACTTGTCAACTCGAAGATTAGAATCCTTCCAAAGCTGGGACAGTCCAAAGAATGCACTCTGATTGCATTTTAATGCACTTTGTTTTATCATCTATCAATTATATTCTCTCTTACACAAAAGAAAACCTTTGCCATTATTGGGGTTATTTCCCATCACTGAAAGCTAGAAAATTCACCTATCAAAACCAGTAAGCTGTCATCAGAAATCCCTGTAGCTCCCAAACGATAAAGAGAAAGAGCTGTCAGCGATAACGAACTTTAGGATACGCCGCATATGCGAGTTTTCACTCAGAACCGTACTGGCTTTTGACCAGCAGACCAAAAGAAAATGTATTGCTCAACGTTTTCAATATTCCAATTAGAGCTTATTGATAATTTAGCATTCTTGAACAGTCAAAGTGCTGAAATGTGCTTAGCACGTTTGCTATCTCTCGTCAGGATCCATCTCATAAGGAACAAAACTGTACTAATTAAAACTAAATATAATTTTTTGAGTCGAGTAATCTCCTCGTGCGAGAAATAGATGGAATTTGGATTTTGACAGTTCGTTTTAAAATTACCGATTTAGTATCCAGAAGAGCTGCAGGGGCTTGAACAGACTTCCCGATAAGCCTTCAAGCCTAAGCCTCAACCCAACAAGGCGTTTACTTTCGGTATTACAATTGGACTTACTTATGATATTACAAATGGCTGTCCGGAACCAATTCAGGTATCCTTGTGATCACATAACTACTAGTATATTAGATATTGATCGACATCAAAGATGTACTACTATAAGAGTCAAGTTCGCAGATCTCCTTCAAATGATACTGTAGCTCTTCGTTCTTCATCCCGCAAGCCTCCTCGACATCAACTATTCACATTTCAAGTGGAAAAAACCACATATTCTTTGCTGCACACATGAAGCCTCCGTTGTCAATTGTAGTTTTCTTTCGCTGAGCGAAAGCTTGGTCCGTTCTTCTGCATATCTCGCCCACTCTTGTTGGGTTTTCCCTAGTCTAAACGTGAACCCCTTGCTCAGAGGTTTTTTGGCCTTCTCTGAAACTGGATCATGGATGGCTCAAAAACTTCTTCTGATGGGCCTTCCGTTGCTCGTCTTCGTCTGCTACCCAAAGTTGGTACTCTATTACCTCAACCTCGGATCGACCATCTCAGGTTTTTCGAAAGTCTGGGCGTAACGAAGAAAGAATAAAGATTGATTTATGGAGAGCTATCCCCAATGACTTCACTCAGCGAGGTAATACATATTTTTCAACAAAATGGACTTGGAGCGAGATACTTTTATGCCTCCTCATGGTAAAGATGATCATCTTATGTACCGGTATTGATGTCTCAAAGCAATAAGCCCTCGGCTACCACCAAGCATTCAGAAGAGCTCTTCTGTAGCGCACACCACATTCCTTCCTTTTTTAAAATCTATCGGGCAAATGTAAGGCAGTAGTTAGAAGCGTGATCGGACTTATAACCATGGATCGAAGCCCATTCAGATCAATCGCGCATTCTACTGTCTCCAAGCTGCATTTTCGCTGGCAGACTCATGTGTAACGATGAAACCGTCGTGTACGATAAATCCCAATAAATTATTCACAGAAACACTAATATGACCAATGACATCTATAGAAAACAATGGTGTGGCGCGTTCCCAACTGCAATCAGCACCTAACAATCAACTACCAAAAAATACTGTGGGACTCCTATTCAGTATGCGCACGCATTCGAATTCCATTCAGAACAGTCATGCCCGTTAAATGACTACTTTATATGTACATTGACTAGAGTCTAGCAACAACAGCCTGTCTTCCTTCCGACCAGCACAATCAAAAACTCAGAACAGCCAAGGAATGGACATGTATGTATCAGTAAAACTACTTGTGTACCCATTAAATCATAACGTCTTTACCCAACCCTACCATTGGTACAAAGTCCACGAACCAATCGATATTCCCGGAAACCACTCTCCACCAGTAGTCACACGGGAAACAAGTGCGTTCTTTCAAATGTTCATTGATTTATTACGGGTAAAGGAAGTACATCATTCTGATTTCAACATTTCTTTTCCCGAGTAATTCACACACAACATCATCATTTGCATTTTTTATCACTCAATACCAGCAAATACGAAAAAAACGATGTACAAAAAGAAATCTTCACATGATATCAAAATATACAGTATCAGGATCAGATCACTGATTAACTGCCACAAAACATTACACAAATCAAATTAATACATGCTAGTGATCTGTTCTACCCAGGGATGTAATGTGAATGGAACGTTGTTTTAGAAATGCTTTCATGATGAACAAATCTACACACAGAAATGAGAAAGAAATAGATAAACGATCGATTCAATCGATCCACAAACAGAACAAAACACATGATACTTCATGACAGTTTAATAACACAGAAAGTAAACAATACCTGTCCATTACGGTAAAGAGCGATCTGTGATGATCGTGTAAGAATGAAAGAATTTTAGTTGGTAGATGATAGCCTTCAGCCAGCCCGAAATTCTATTCCAAGCTCACGGCACATAACCCTCGATCACTTACAATGATTTCGGGGCACTTTGAAAACATGGGCAACACAGTCTTATAGCTAAGAGCTCTTTTTAAGAAGAGGAGTTAAGAAAGAGAAGGTGAAGAAGCAATTCTGAAATGTTCAGTGTCCCGGTGTCAATAGGCAGCACATAACGGTGAAAGATCATTTGGCTTCCCACTCATAAATTAAAGGATATTAACGAAATCTCAACCACCGCATGTGCGCATATGAAACGGTATCGATTATACGCGAGTAAAATCTATCGTTTTCAGTTATAGTGTCAGTCATTATCACAGTTACACTCATATGACACCATGTTCGATTGAAGTTCTAGAAAAATCCCGAAGAAGAAGAGCGGAAAAACAGCTAGCTGTCTAAAAATATAAGCGCCCGCTCAATATTAAGAAAGACTTGGAAAAATTGTTCTGCGCAGAACCCAATCCTATATGATAGGAGAAATTTTTCAAGTTATAACCAAGCAGGAGATGGTATTTTCACCCTTCTGAAATAAAAAAAAAACTATGAAACGGTGTCCCACTTGCACTTGCGACTGCAGGGTGGCGTGTCGTTGCCCATCCAGAAAGCATCTGGGACTGACCTTGACTTGTCATCAACCCATTACTATCACCAAATAAATACTATCACTATTGATGAACATAACAATAGTAATCTACAGTGCACGATCTCAAACGCCAATCAGTGAAAAAAGGGCAAAAAAATACTACGAGCAAGTTCTTCTGACTTGCCTTCCATGGAAATTTACATTCTCAAAAGAGAGGGAAAGCTAACAGTAAAGAACTCAAACGATGACGAATGTATTATGCACATTTACAGTAAGCGTATGTCCGCTATGCACATAAGACTTTAGAAATCATGGATGAAATATAATATCCTACTTCTTGATGGAATCATGCAACGTTGGTTACTCATGTGTTAGAAGACGTATACGCTTGGTTGGCGGTTCGATGCCTGACACTGAAAAACAAAGTCTTCTTCATCTAACAAATTCAGGTCTGAATAACAGCACACCAATTAACTCTTAAACGTAAACATAGATACTTTTTCGTTGGGAAACCCCGCTATGAATTTGTTTTGGTTTCAGAAGTCAAATACTATTTTAAACATCGTTGAATGAAAGAGACCGCCTCGAACATGCGCTCAACCTTACACCCTTACAAAAGCGTCGAAAACATATTTGAAAAGGGAGCTAATCCTTGTTCTTAACCTCTCACCATACAGTCAAATCTGATGAAAAAACCAAGTGAAACTTACTGGAAGAGCTTAATGACACTCCATGGAGACTGCTAGCAGCGCTGCTCACACTTCCTATGCACGGCTTTCGTTCACTGGACATATGAGCAACGATTTCCGTCACGAGGCAACCATGATCCCGTGTTAATTCTGCCCAAGTATCTGTCTGAAAATTCCCAAAAATTCTAGCACAGATTCACCAAAAAGAAAGAAAATGCAACAGCTAAAAGTAAGAACAGAATCAAAGAACACCAACCTGAATGACACTGTTGATATTCTGCGCAATGAATTTCACCGCCTCATTTTTCAATTCAGCCGAGTTGTACATATCAGCGTAGACGAGAAATTTACATGCTGTATCAACGATCAAACCACTCCTCAAAACCTAAATAATTTCCAGCATACGAAAAACAAATTCGCAGATTGAGCCTCCAACTCTAATGCAAGCAAAAAGTTCACTTTTGAATACAACTTACATGATCAGCCATATCCTTCAATCCAGGAAGTTGGAATCTGTCCGCAGCCGCAAGCAACTCCAAACCCATTTGTTGAATGTTGGGTGACCGGCCAGAGTACATATACATTAATAACTCATGCATTACCTTAATGACAATAAATAAACTCCCAAATCAGTTCATTCAAAAAACTAATTAATTGTCTGTAACAACACCGAAGCCATAATGAGAACAAAAAAATTAAAAAGAAAGCTGCAACCGTACCTCGTAATCTATATCTTCCAGGACAACCCGATTTGTTTTTGCTTCTTCCGTATGCGGCTCTAACATGGCCGCGAATACCGGAGATCGTGCTGATAGGACTACCTAAAGGCGCAGATTGAATGCAAACCTAGCCAAATGTGAGAAATCAAGAAACCACTAAGAATATATAATCGAACGGTAATCGACTAGAGGTCCTTTTCTAAATGTACAAGGTCTCAAATCGCTGTTACCTTCCGAAGAAAACCCTCCAAATGACTAAGATATTGGACACGACATTTGGCCCCATGATTTTGCTTATCAACTTGGCTTCGACCCACCTTGAATCCCTCCTCAGGTAATCTACACCCTGTGACGCAGCGAGTTACTGATCGAGTAGCGAGTTGTTGCAGACATGGTTAAAGGGGAAAAAGTCATGCCAACAGATGTATATTCCAGTGAAAGCGCAAAGGAAGGGATGAGATTTGTCAAACGTGACCGCTACCAACCTTTAACGTTGCAGTAGGTAGTTCATTCACACAACCGGTATGAAATAGGGTAAAAAAAGATCAATAGAAAGGATGGAGAAACAGCATACCTTGTGAACAGGGATTTCTTTATCTCCTACGACAATGGTGAAATCAGACAGTTTTGCGTCTTTAAATATTGATTCGAGATCCTTTGTTACCTGAAAGATAGATGTTTTGCAACCCCATTGACATTATCCTCCCCTTCCTAAGGAACAAGAACTTGCATAACTTCAAGTGAAGAATTACCTCTGCTGGTTTAGGTTCGGGAGGGCCGAGAGTTTTCGGCGCTTGACTAGTTCTCGTTACCGTATCGAAAGTAACCGTCATATTTAACACCAATTGCAATT